TTGAAAAGGAATAACCTCAAATTTGAAAATAAACCTCTTTTTATTGTTTCTATATATGAGCATTTCTAATATTATTATTATAAATTACTAAATTAATTATTACATATTTAAATTTATTATAAGTTGTATACAAGTATTAAATATATTGTAATAACTATTAAGCAGAAATTGTAGAATTATTGTAGTATATTTCGTTTAACGAAATAAAAGTGACAAAATTTAAATTATTATTACATATACATTCAATACAAATATTGATATTTACACCATTCTCATTTCTATGCTTTCTTCTGTTTCTTCGTGTCTTTGTTTTTGATAATATTTACGAATTGAATCAATCCAAAATACTGATGATGTCAATACGACAAGCGAAAATATATCTGAATAAGTTAAAGCTTCTGTTTGAAAAATTGCTTGGAAAAATGGAATATAAATAACACATAATTGTCCGACCAATGAACCAAGAACTGCGAGATTAAACATTGTATTTGAAAATAAACCCAATTCCAAAATTGATTTTTTCTCCGAACGACAACTCAAAGCATTAAACATGTCAAATAAAACAAAACATGTGAATGTCTAAAATTATTATCCATAAATGACATATACATAGGTATAAATAATATAATATAATACAAATTAATAATTGATAAAGTATAACCTTACAAATACAATGTTAAATGGTTCTTACCATTGTCGTATCCCGAGCTGTGACAATACCGTCACGCATTTCCCTTATGTAAATAAATAATGTACCAGTCACAATAACAGCTGCCGAAGTCAATACCCTCATAATCAATGCCGAAGTAAGAATAGGTGCATTCTTTTTCCTGGGTAGTTGGCGCATTACGTCTTCATCAACAGGTTCAACTCCAAGTGATTGTGCAGGCGGACCATCCATTAATATATCTAAATATGTACGGTTGTGTTTTAATAACATTACTTGCCCGAATTTCGAAAGCTAATTAAAAAAAAACTTTCAACTTACTTATCCATAGAATCTGCATTGCATTTAAAGGATTTGGTAATCCCGAAATTGTAGACATCGTTATTAGTGTCAATGCTGCAATGCTAGTGCTCAATTGGAATGTTAAAAAGTTTCGGATATTATAATAAATTGATTTTCCTATTATAGTATAAAGTTATTAAAAATCAAATTTTCGTACATATCATTAAATCAAAACGGATGTGATTTTTACCTTCTTTTACTGCGTCTAAAATAGTTGTGAAATCGTCATTGATCAATATTATATCAGCAGCTTCTCTGGAAACATCCGTGCCACTTTTACCCATTGAAATACCAATATCAGCTATTTTTAAAGCTGGCGCATCATTTACGCCATCTCCTGTCATGGCCACAATCGCACCATTTGACTGTAAAGCCTGAATTATGGCCATTTTATGTTTAGGTGCTGTTCTTGCAAAAACCGAAATATTACCAATAATTTCTTTCAAATGTTCTTCATTCATTGATTCAATATCACTTCCAGTAAGACAACTTGACTTTGATGTAGGGTTAACTGGGATTCCCAATCTCGTTGCAATTGAAAGTGCAGTTTGGTCTTTTATTAAAAAAAGTGGGATTAATTAAATCTTTACAAAAAAATAAAATAAAATAAAAAAGGTCAAAAGTAAATAGAAAAATACCAGAGTCTCCTGTTATCATAACAACTTTAACACCACCGCTAATTAATTGTCGGATGGCGTTATCGACTCCTAAATAACAAAGGTACTAACAATTTAATTGGTTTTCATATATATTGTTAAAGAAATAATTACAATAAATATAAGACACAAACCCTTTCTTGGTGGATCATACATTGCCACACATCCTACAAAGGTAAGGTTAGTGATATCAGGTCCATATGCCATACCAAGGATTCGAAGACCATGTGAAGACATAGATGTGACATGTCGCGTCACCAATTCTTTTGCATAATTATCCAATGGTGGCTTATGTGTTTCAGACACATAATAGGTTACACATCTTGACAAAACTGCTTCAATAGACCCTTTAAAGAAAACTGTATCTATCTGAGATCCTTCATATCTTCCAGTTACTGACATCCATTTTTGATCGGAATTAAAAGGAATTTCGGATTTACGGCAAAAGGTCTAAAATGATTTTAACAAAGGTCAATCAGTATATAATTTATTTATTTTTTAAGAAACATTGTTTGAACTTAAAATACCTTTATATCATCTTCCATATTCATTTTTATTATAACATCAAGTAAAGCGACATCTGTTGCTTGCCCATATTTTTTTCCCTTCTCATCAATGCTAGCATTATTACATACCCCACCTTTATTATAATATTATAAATAAATAAAGATAATTTCATAACTCTAAATGAATACTGGCAATAATTAAATATCGTACCAATTTTAAGAACTTCACGCATAGCAGAACTGGTCTTTGTAGGTAAACCATGTTCCAAATCGAAGATATTTTCCTCGTCCAAAGTAAAAATCTTTGTAACAGTCAAAACATTCTCAGTTAGGGTACCAGTTTTGTCGACACAAATCACATTGACGGATCCAAGAGTTTCTACAGAAGGAAGTTTCTTTATAATTGCATGCTTTTTTGCCATTCTTAAAATCCCCAAACCCAAGGTTACGGCGACAACAATTGGAAGTCCTTCAGGAATAGCAGCCACAGCCAAACTTACTAAAAAAAAATTAAATAAAATTTACTTTAATATATTATGATTTACATAAATATAATAAGCAAATGAATAAATAAAGATAATGACCTCCAATAGTGAACATTTCAAGCCATTCACGTCCCTGGAGAATTCCAATAAAGACAATAACCACAATTATAGCACCGGATAAATAGGATAACTTTTTCCCAAGTTCATTCATACTTAATTGAAAGGGTGTTTTTGGTGTTTCAGCCTCCTTGACCATAGAAAACACAACGCCAAATTCTGTTTGTGATCCAGTTCCAACAACTATACCATGTCCATGTCCTAGATTAAAAATCAATGATCTGATATAAATAAAACCATTCACTAAAATCTTAGAATAATACAAGAAATAACCTAACCATTTCTGACGAGAGTTCCCATGAATGCAATATTTCTTCGCTCCTGTATTGTTAACTCGCCATGACCATTATCAAAAGGAATCATTTCTGTTATTTTTGAACGTGGTTTGGCTTCACCTGTCAAATTAGATTCATCGATTTCCAAACTTTCAGCCTAAACGATTAAATTTAAATTATTAAAAAGACATTTATAAATAATATGAAGATATATAATATAATTGTAAATTACAGAAATTATCCGAACATCGGCGGGAATTCTATCTCCGATACCGAAGCGAACCAAGTCACCTGGTACCAAAACAGTTGCCGAAGTAGTCGTCCATGAGCTATCACTGAGAATATTTACAAAATTTAAAAAATAATAACAAAATAGAATTAAATCAAATCATAAATTAAAAAAAATTGTGCTTACCGATTAAGGTGACAGAAATGGGGGACTAGTTTATTAAGTGCTTCCAATGACTTTTCTGACCGATACTCTTGTATAAAACCAACTATAAATAATAATGTATTTGTTTCAACAAATTATAACGCCGAATTTTTAAAAATAATATCAATAAACAAAGTAATTATCGGGGAAGGAATACCTGTCGTAACAATTAATACCGCCTAATAAAATTATATAAGTTAATCGTATTCTGGAAGTTAATAAAATTAAAAAGTAGTTAAAACATTTTAAATTTAAAACATTAAAATAAATCGATACTTACTAAAAGTACAGAAAAGGCATCGTTCCGATTTCCCATCACTAAGGAAATTGCCGCCGAACCAAGAAGCAATAAGATAAGTGGGTTCTCTATAAATTGTTTGAAGAATTTAATAATGACTGATTCGCCATCTTCGACTTCAAATTCGTTATGACCACAAGTTTTTTGTTTATAAAGAGCTTCGCTTGTAGTAAGTCCAGATTCGGTACTTGTGTGAAGTTCGGAAAGGGTTTTCTCAACTGTACATCGAGCAAAATACGCTGAAGGAGTTGATGAACCCATTTGGTGGAGGAATATTTTTTTGGTAAAACAATATCAGATGTAATTTATTGTGTCAATAATGGTGAATATTTATAAGGATCGTGTTTTTTCGAGGAAAGATTCAAACGCACTTCTTTATCGAAATGATTTTATGCACAACCTATTTATAAATGAATAAATATCTCTGACAATCGTGGCGTAGTTCATTTATATAAAATTGCCACGTACGACTTTGAAATTCTAAAATGTCATTTATGGACTTTTTAACAATAAAGTTTAGCAAAAAAAAAGATAAATCATTCTTTTTATAAAATTTTTTTATAATAGAAAAGTAGAAATTTCCATCCGGCTTATTATTATTTTTATTTTTTTTGGCTTAGAAAAATACAATCAATGTCAAGAGAATTAAATTTTGAGTTTGGGACATTAGAATATAATCAATGTTTCTATCAACTTTTGGGCAATACGGCTTATAAAGGCTTGGCTTTGAACTATTATTTGCCTCTATTAAGGCTTATTTCATTATCGTTATGTATTTTATCTTGGCTTAGTGACTTATTCTTGAATAAATGTCATTAATTTTTACTTTGTTACAAGCCATTTAACAAAATTTGAAAAAGCGAATTTATTAAATCACGTGCGAGCGTTATGGCCATTTTTTTTCGATAACAATCAAACATAAAAGTTGATGAAAATGTTTTGCATGAAAACAAGTCAAAACTTTCGATATTCCTAAGAGACTAACCATCTTAGCTAGCCACATAATAAAATTTGGAAAATTCTTACATGAAAATTTCTAGAAACAATACTAATTGTTTCAATCCTTTTTATTTTACAAAGAAAAAAAAAGTCTCTGCTCCTTCTTTAAAGAGATTCTTCAAAGATTGATCGATATTACCATAGCAAATAATTTGATATGCTCGTCTACTAGAATTTATGCAAACCTGATTAGTCTGATTGGCCAGATTCAACATATTAAGTTTATCTGTTTCCTATTAATCTAGTCTGAACGGGTAATTTTGCCATAAATACATCGCAAAGTGCTAAATTTAAAATGATAGGTTTAACATAGTGCCTATAAGAAAAGTTAAAATTGTCAGTTAAGGACAAACGCAAAAAAAAATTTTCATTCATGAAATAATTCCATTATAATATTTCATGATAAAAAAGATACAAAAAGTCATAAATTTGTTCCAAAGCTAAAGTACTGTCTCCGTAATCATCTATTTTCATATTTATAGTTACATCATTCAACATTTGTGCAAAGTTTCGTAAAAACTTAATCATAAAACAAGTTAAAGTTAGTAAATCAAATTTTCAATATTTTCAATAGTTCATTCAACCTTCACAATGCCCAATCTCTTACCGTAATAAATGAAGGATCATGTTCAAATCTATACATTAATGGTCCAACTAATGCACATAAGTAAAGTAACTGAATATCCGTTTTAATTAATCCTCTTAACAATATGAGTTTGGTGAAAAACTTTTCAACGACTTCAATATTTGAATAATGTAACAGACTGTGTATGAATGTTAAAAAACTATTAGCTGCATTAGTTCCGAAATTAAGTAGATTAGATTTGTAATCATTAAATATATATGGAAAAATTGTTGAAAATGGTGTTGAATGAGATAATAGTTGTAGTAAAGGATCTATTGATGGATCTTTCGTATAATGTCCAGTCTAAAAAAAACAAATTAGTTAGCTATAATGGCAATTAAGAATAAAATATAATAAGAATATGATATATCTTACCATATTACAAGGTTGAGAAAATTCTCCAAGATGTGGATCTTCTTGAATAAATATCAACATCTCATCAAACATTTTATATACAAATTCTTCAGTAGGTAAGAATGAATATAATAATCCAATGGCATGTAATACCATAGGTTGTACTGCAACATTCTTTCCATTCATTAATATAATATCCGAAGTTGCTTTGATAATGTCCTGTGGACTTACAGGTATTGCTAATATTTCAACACATGCAATATGTAAAGCCTGAACCACAGGGTTTGGAATTTCTTGGAAATGTCGTTCCGGGTATTTGGTATTTGCTTTCGGTGCACACTTTTGCGGATCCATATCTAAATAAATTGATCATTTTAACTCACGTTTAATCTTAAATAAAGGTATAAAATTAACTTACAATCAGCTAATTTATGGAAAACCTTTTCAAAGTATGAAGGTTCAAAGTTTATATTATTTCCTTCATATTGTAATAATTCGGCTACAAAATCGTACTCGTCACAACCTTTTTTTTAAAAAAAAAAACGAACCTAATTTAATAATTCTTGTAAAAAAGAAAAGATTTTTATAAGATATTATAAGATTTACCTAATAATTTGATTAGTTTTGAACAAATCGTTGGATCTCGAATAGTAGGTGCAGAATAATAATAACACAACAAATCTCTCACAAAAGCTAAAGGTGTCTGATGAAACCTATAAAGTTGACCAAATTCATCTAACAGTTTCACTAACTTATCTGTTTCACCAAATTCAATAAATCTTTCAACAACTAGATCTAATATAGGCAAAGATTTTCTTAGAACACTAGTATAATATATTGGCATGTTTATAGATTTCAACGGTGGGTCTAATTTTTTTGCCGCAGCTTCATATCCATCTGTATATCCTATTCCATCCATTGCATATGCTTCGTATTGAAAATATTCAGGATATCTCTTAAGATATTCCATAAGTTTATCATGATGATCGTCCTCAACCCAATATCTATGATTAAATTTCAATGACAAGAAATATTGAACTCTATTTGAATATCCTTCAGATTCGAATAGGAGATAATCTAATATTCCCAATACTACAGTATTATTTTCTCTCTGTCCACTTACAAGTGCAAATAGAACATGCTCAAATGCGAGTATCTGATATCTCCATATCAATTCTTCAAGCATTTTATAACACTTTTAAGGAAAATATTTTTTAAAGATTTAATAAAGCGAATATATATGAAATTTTTTTTTTAAAAAAAAGGTAACTTACCACTTCTACGGGAGGTCCACTGATATCATTTTCGATCTTTTCAATAATAAAATCAACCAATACGACTGTATACGTAGCCATTCTAGAAGGCGGAAATTGTAACAACACCTTCCTTAAGGCTGAATAAATAATAATATAATTTGTTATTAAAAGTAATTCAAAAAATTTCTATATAGAAATAATAAATAATAATTACTGCTCATCATATCAGGGTTCAAACTTTTTCGATAGCATCCAATTTTCCATAAAGAACACAAAAACATTGATTGACTTTCAAGTTTAGAATAGTGTTCCTGTAACATTGTTTCATCTTCTGAAGTAAGAGGAGCTCCCATAAATAATTTAAACAAATTTCCTATTTTTAAAGCAGAATCCATCTGTTTTGATAAAAAAAAAAATTACTATATATATTAGAATTATAAATATTATGAACATAACAAAAATATATTAATTAGTCTGCTTACATCTTTATCGGAAATAGAAGGAAAAGTTCCCTTCATCTTCTCTTGTTGTTGTGAAAAGAATATTCGTAAAGGATCAGGGAAATAACTTAAAGTGATGTCAGACCATTCTAATGGCCGATTATCGGGATAAATACTTGTGAGAATTCCCTGAATCAATTCAGGTGAGATATCATCAAGTCCTCTAAATTTAATTAACCTAGCCAAAGTGAAAATCATGTATCTAGCCAACAATTCAGATTCCGGGAACCATATAGGTTTATCCCGGTTTTGATCAGCAATAGATTTTATGAACTTGACATCGGTTTGAATCATCTAAAAAAAATATCATTAATATTTTAATAAAAGATTAAAATATTTTCGATAATATATAATTTACCATAACATGAATAGCAAACATTTCAACGTCACGATAGGTCTGTCGGTGATCCAAATAAGATACTGAATATTTTATGTGATGTAAGAGATCAGGAGCTTTGGAAGAATATTTTAAGAAACGAAGTAGTCGATGACACAAAAATTGCAAAATAGTATGCTGCCATCTGAAAGAGTATTCTGACACCATTGGGGAATTTCCTTCAGCATGCGTCTTTAATGATTTGTCAATTCTCTTAAATTTTGCAAAAATATCCTTAATCATCTGCTCAAGCCTAATTAAATAAATTAAAGCTGTCATTTCAAAATTGTTTAAACCCCCCCGGACATTATGTATCAAAATTACTTACGACCAAGGAGCACTGTATACAATTTTGTAAACTACGTCCAAAGTATAAGGCGATATACAAGTTATATTATGATCCTTGGCATCAAAATGGAACAACGGTTCAGTTGTTCCATAAAGCATCATTTTATATATCAGTTGCTCAAGTCTACGAAAAAAGATTAAAATTAACCAAGGGAAAAAATATATAAATATAAAAACATCCATCGTGCAAGAATATCAAAAAAATTGCGAAGAGTATGAAGTGTAAGAGAAGTAACTTGCAGTTAATATTCAAATTACCTATACTTGTTATGAATATTAATAAAATCTAATAACTTGTGACTAACATTTCCACCTTGTAGAAATTTTGCTTCTGGAAATCCAAGTTCACCCACATTATTTAATTTATCAGGAACCAAATGTACATATAAAGTATCAGCAACCAAAATAAGTTGACTTAAAATAGCAATTTTTATAATTTCTTGTATAGGCAGATTTTTAAAAAGATCAGTTTTTGTGACATTCTCTAAAAATTTAATTATATGAAATTTAGAAATGAATAAGCAGGGGGATAATAGAAGGAAATCATATAAATACCTTTATATACTTTAAGAAAATACACCTGTAAATCACGAATCTTTGGACTGAAAGCCAAAGCACCAACAAGTTGAGGATGTCTGTATTTTAAGTTACTTCTTTCTTTTAGTGCATTATGTTGATGACTCATCTTCGTATAAAAATTGAAAAAGTTAAATTCCAACAAATCAAATTTAGGACAGAAATAATAGTAAACTTACTGCACATTGCAAAGACAAATCCCTTAAATAAAATGCATCTTTTGACATAACTTGCTGGTCATTATATAATTGAATCAGCATGCTGAACAAACTTTCATCATTAGAAAGGTCTTTGGCAATAATTTGATTTCCGACCTTTTCGATATCTAATATTAGACATTGAATTAAGATCAAGTAAAATTTGCAATATAAAGAAATAAATTTCATTCATTAAAGGATACGAAAAAGCTGTATCAGTAACCAAATTAAAGTATTATCTTTTGGTAGAGTGTTACGACGACTTATAACATTTTCTCCGCTTTTAGGATAAACCATGTGATAAAATTCTAACAAAACTTCCTCATATTTAATGTACCTAAATATTAAAATTCAATTAATTAGCAAATAATCATAAAACATTAAACATTAAAAGCGTTAAGAAAATATTTAATACGCACTCGTAGGCAACCAATCCATACAACTGATCTCCAAGCTCAATAATAAGCTCCCAGAAATCTAAATCTTTAGGAATCAATATATCATCATACAATTCTTCATTTGTAAATTCTAATTGCTCGTCATGAAATAATTTTCTAGTGAGTTACAAATAAAAATATATATGGAAATAAAGTACCATTGTCAAATACACAAACCTCGCATATACTCATTAAAATTTGAATGATTTTGAACTAACTTAATAACATCATGGACTTTAGTAAAAAGAGCATCTCGTACAGGTTCCAATCCAACAGGAGTTGATTTCATCGATTTAATCATTGTCTCAACTTCTTCGATAGGAGCACGTTGAAAAAACATATCCCGGAATCTTGTAGCATAACTTGTGGCTTGACCTTCTTCGATGAATTGTTCCTATATACATAAATATGAATTGGTACATAAAATCGAGAACATAAATGGTCCTAAAATTAATAATAAACTTACGTAATCGCATTGGAATGGACTATAATTATCTAATTTTGCCAAATCAATATATTCATGAGGTCGACTATTAATTAATTTAAATTAATAAGATTCAAAAAAAAAAAATTTTTTTTTATAAATATATATATTTTAATGTTATAAACCTGTATTGTGAAATCAAAGGCCATGCAGCATCTAAGAAATAAGTAAAAATTAATTCTTAAAACAAAAAGATCGAATCATTAAACTAAATGTGACATATACCAGGTGGCATCATTAAGAATGCAAGACGTTTTCGTCGAAGTGATAATTCGTTAATAAACCTTTCCATTGTCCAATGAACTTTTATAAATTGTCCTCTCACAGGTGGTCCATATATTTCTTGTAACTTTTTTGAAAATAAAATTAATATTGTGAAATATTTTATTTTTTGTTACTAATCATAAAAATGTTACCTGTTCAATAATGTGATAATGTGAGATACAACCCACTCCTCCACAATCTTTTCCAACTAAAAATGTATCAATAACTACTTTTCCCTTTTCTACACACTCAAGTTCAGTTCTTGTAAGATTATCATTAAGCAAATTAATTTGCTTTAAAATGTTTTTAACAATGTCTGCAGCCAATGGAGAAGGAATTTCAAGCATAGCATGTGGATATTGTTGAATAATTATAATCATAAAAGACAGGATTCCATTCCATAATTCTGGACAAGAAATATTAATTGATGATGTAAGGTATTCAAAAATTGTTGGAATGGTGATTATAGGTGCTGGTTGAAGAATTGATGAGGATTGGGTAATATCACCACCAAGACCCAATAACATTCCATATGTTGTGGGTGAGTCTGTTATTAAAGCCCCAAATAATGACAAAATAAGACAAACACGTTGCCACGACGGCTGATTAAATAATCCAGTAATATAATTTATAACCTCGCCCTAATTACGTTAGAAAGTTGGCTGATATTATTTTTCTAGACTATATAAATTGTATCTTATAAAGAATGATTTATATATACCGTACTCCCAAAAGCCAAAGACGCTCTAAAAAACTCTCTAACTAATTTTGTAATTGTATCAGATTGTTCCAATTCCAATCCTTCGAAGTTGATGCATGTTTTCTCTTTTTTCAATTTTTTCACTGGCGGATCAAAAATACTATTTTGAATGACATGTTATTTTCTTATATAATTATTTGAAAACATGACTCCTTACAAAGTTAAGGAAATACCCATTAAATAAACCCTCTAATGGAACTGGTTGACTTGATTCCTTATTAAAAAATAAAATTCCAATTTCGCATGTAAATTTTTTTATATCATTTTTATACATTATAAGAATGTAAATATAAAAGTGTTATAATACCTGCTCGGTTTTCTCACGAGCCTCAATAGTATTCAAAAGCAATGATTTAAAATCATTTGCAGGATCGCCCATAACATCTACCATTTATTTTTGAATTGAATTAATTGAATTCCAAAAAAATCAAAAAATGAATTCGTAATATCTAATCATATCGAGATGATCACATGATCGATCAGGTCTGTTACACCATAAATACGCTTTTTACTTTATAAATTCGTAAATTTAATAAAGATTTCCGCACCATAAAAAAAGTTGATAAGCTGGAACAGTTATTAAGGGAGTTTAGTAAAATTAAGAAACGAAATGGTGACGATGAAAAGCTTAGAAGAAGTGAAAACGAATGAGGAAAAGAAGAACAAGTTAGAGGAGGAAAATTATTTATGGAGAAAAGCAAGTTGTAAAGTTGCAAGACACGTAAGACGCGTTAATTGTTGGTTTGCGATATTAATTGTTGACAGTTATTACCATTTTTTTCATGATGATTTAACCATAAAGAATTAATCCAATCGTAAGGTTAGTTATGAGGACCATAGAAACTTAAAAGCTTTCGTAAAGATAATAAGGGAAACATTTAATTTCATTGAGTTTAGGAAAACCTATTAGAAGTTTAGGTAAAAATATTTACTATAAACATTTTAACTTTTAAAACATGTCAAAACTCAAATTGTCCAATAATACCGTAGTTTATGCAGGCAACTTTAACCAGATTATATTAGCAGAGATTTAAATTAGATATTTTATTAGAAAATTATAAATTAATAAATTAGAGACTAAATAAAAACATTTTTATTTGTAAAGAACTATATAAATAAATAAATGCTTCTATTTTATGGGAAACGAACAAAATATTCCTCCTTTATTATATTTTATTGATATCTGCAAGCAACTTTAATATTAATTAAATTAATTGGATACATCTTTGCTTGGAATTTGTCCTTTTGGATTAATATTATTTTGTATATTTATGAATTTAGCAAAAGCTTCTGTTTGAGAATTTATGAAGGGTTTTTCTAAATAATATCAAAAACAAATTATTATGCAACGATAAAAAACTTTTAACCTATTTAAAATAATCATAACTTACGAATAATAAATGTTTGCTGTTGTCCATACGCAGGAGCGGTGGTTTGAAAATTATGCGGAATTACAAGTCCCGCTTCTTTTTGTGATATATTTTCCCGAACCCATTGTAATTCTGTATCAATTTTTCTAATACGATAAAAAGAATTAATATAATAAAATTTAACATTTATTGTACATTAACCTTTATATTTTTACCTTTGAATTTCTTCCTCCAAAGGCAATGGTTTGACGTTTGAAGATAAAGAGAGAAATTCTTGCGTTGCTCTTGTAATTGCTAACCATTCCTCATCATAACTAAATTCCAACGGACCCTTTGCTTCTGGAAAATCAAGAATCTACGAGATAAATGCTTATTAACTTTTATTATAATGAAGTCGATACGTATTCAGATAATTAATATAATAACCTGTAAAAAATCGCGTCCAGGTAAACATTTATCAAGTGATAAAAATTTTGTACAGAGAGGTTGACCTTCAATTACATCATCATTTATATGAGAATTCGAAGGTGTTATATCAGAGATTTTAGAATTCTCATTGATTGATTCTTTTGATTGTTCTAGAACATTTTCAACAGGAGATGCCAAATTTTTAGTATTATTATCTTCAAGAGAGACTAATATCTCATCCTTATTCACACAATTTTTAGAATCAATTTTCGTTTCATCGGGATTCTTAAAATCTTCATCCAGGTCAATATTAATCTCATCAGGATTCAAATCTTTAGTAAAATCAATATTAATCTCGTCCGAGTTCAGATCAAAATTATTAATACCTTGAGAGGATGGTTGTCCTTCACCATGATAAACAATAGCAGAAAATTTCACATGTAAATGTGCAGCAAACCAATATTTTGGTTTTAATTTAAATAATAATTCGTCACAAGCAGCACTCCCAAGTTTACCAGATTTAATCTATCAATATAAATTCAAGATTACAATCGTCTAATCAAGTGGAATGTCTCGAAATGAATAAACTTACGTCAGATTCGAAGTGCGGCTTAAAACGAAGCAACGTTTCTAAATCTCCATAATTTGTAATTTTACCAGGCCAATCATGTGACATAAATATATCTAAAGGATTCCGAATCTGAATTCATGAATTTATTAGAAGAAAATAATATAATATTATATAATATAATGTTGTATAAATACCTGCAAAAGTTTGTAAACATCATATTCTCTTATATGATAAGCACTTCTAACTGTAGATTCACTATATGGAAGGGTTTCAAAATGTCCTGATAATTCAAACAAGTTTTAATTTTAAACATCCTGCCAATGAAATTTCAATCGATCAAAAAGTATACCTAATTTATAGTGACGAGGATTATATATTCCAGATAATCCTCCTATTCTTAATCCACCGAAATGAACCACACCACCATACCCAAGGAAGTAAATATTTTCACACACCCATCCACCATAATATCTATTAATATTATGAATTCAATTAATTCAAACAGATCATAATTGAAATTTTAATTGATTTATTCTTACATTTCCCATAAATAACTTATGACTTCATGATTTCCACCAATAAACAAAGTTGGATAAGGTGCCTTAAGTTCGCCAGTATAATACTTATAAAATGTTCCTAGTGTTTGATATTTAACTGGAACAGCCAGAGATTTATAGTCTTCTAAATTGCGTATGCTCTAAAAATATTTAAGACTTTAATAATTAAACCTATAATTAATTCTATTTAGAATTTATAATTATGTAAATAAAAACCATTTTGCTGCAATTGATTTAGACAAGCTAACCTGAAAGTCTCCACAGATCAACAATAAATCAATTTTTATATTTTCAACATTTTCGATATGATTTAAGGTTTTATAAATTTGTTCCAATTGATTATGACAACAGCCTTCTATAGCTACCTGAAATATTATAATTAGGTAAATACAATTTGATAAAAAAAAAAATTAAAGTTTTTTTTCTTATACTTGCTCTCATTTTTATTTTTCTCGTTTTTTTATGATAAAAAGTAGAGGATTAGAATTTGCCAAACAAATGCGTAAATTTTGTAAACATAATTCTTCCATAAAAGTATAAATTAATTGTAAATCACACAGATTCTGAACCCCTCTCTCTTTCTGATGCGATAATGACAAAAGACCTTGATATTGTTGTATTTGGTGCATCAGGTTATACCAAATTTGTTTTTATATATTAATTCTTTAAATCCGATCATATTAATGTTCAATTTATGTAACAAAAGGTTTCACCGGCAAGTTCGTTGTTGAAGAAATATGTCGTACAGCACAAGCAATTCACAAATTCAAGTGGGCAATATCTGGTCGTTCTGAACAACGACTTCTCGAGTTGGCAAACATCATAAGCATATCTAATAATAATAATGTACGCCAACCAGAAATTATTGTTGCTGACGTTTTCAATCCAGAATCATTACAAATTTTAACCAAAAGAGCTAAACTTATAATTGACTGTGTTGGACCGTTTCGCTTATATGGCGAACCTGTTGTAATAGCATGCATTGAGAATAATGCTGATTATATTGATATTTCAGGTAAGTGTAAAATGGTTGTCAAAAAATCTAAATTTTTTAAAATTAATTTCATAATTTAATTTTCAAAGGTGAAGTTGAATATATTGAACAAATTCGGTTAAATTATCATGATCCTGCAAAGTCAAGGAATGTCACAATCGTTCCTGCTTGTGGTTATGACAGCGTATGCTATTTAAATAATTATTTCATCAAATTGTCGCATACAATTAAAGATTTAATAGTGTAATTTTGTATTTTATCAAGGTTCCTGCGGATATGGGTCTATTATTCACCAAACAGCAGTTGGAAGCCAGGAATGCAATTCCTTCTCAAATCGAAATTTTTTCCGGATTACGTTCTGGCAGTGCTGGTATCAGAGGAAATTATGGAACTTATGCATCAATTGGTAAGCTTAATTACGAGGATTTGCTTATTTATGTTTATTTATGTTGATTGATAATCTGACCACTTCCTTTAATCAGTTTATGGTGTTTCTAGTGTTCATAATCTTCGTGAGCTAAGAAAACGGGTTAACCTTCCAATTGTGCCTAGAATTGGAACTAACCTTAAAATTTTACCTTCTGGAAAATTTGATAAACGAATTAATGGATATATTATTCCTTCTTTCACCACTGATCCTTCTATTTTGAGATTAGGACAACAGTTAGATATAGTTTTTAATACTGGTATTCCACCTGCTCAAATTTCTTCATACCTCGTCTTTAGCAAGTTCAAATATATAGCCATGATGATACTTGGCGGTTCTATAATTAAATTTTTAGCAAGTTATGAATGGGGAAAAAATTTACTTCTTAAATATCCAAGGTTCTTTACTTTCGGTAATAATAATAATTATAATTCCTTATTTATTATAAATCATATCATTCTTACATTGATTAAAGATATTTCATTTTAATTGTAGGATTGTTTTCAAAAGATGGACCTACACTTGAACAAATTCAACAATGTGGTTTTTATCATCGTTTTTATGCTAAAGGGATTTCAACAAAACGATTAAATACTGAGGAAATGGATTTAATTAGTTCACCCGGGCAAAGTAAACCTTCCTCTTTATTACATAATTTACAACCGGATGTGGAAATTGTTACTGAAATTAAAGGGCCCGAAGCTGGTTATGTTACTACTCCAATTACGGTTGTTCAATGTGCTTATACTTTATTAACAGAAAAGGAAAAGATTCCTAAAGGTGTCTGCACTCCAAGCATTGCATTTGGTAAAACTTCCTTATTGCAAAGATTGAATGAAAATGGAATTGAATTCAATGTTCTTGAAGGTCATTTTGATATTTAACAGGAATGATTTGCTAAAAACAAAAGGGTTTACATTATAGTTATTTATATGTTTAATATCATGTAATATAGTAAGTTGTACCAGTTAATTTATTGATCAATTTCGTAAATCTTTTATATTAATTTTTTAAATGTCAAAAATATTTTATTTTAAGGAGCATTTAAATTTAAATTATTAGTATTTTGTTGGATTGATTGCGTATTATCAATATTATTTATAATCACTTATTTTGAAGCATTTTGAAAATGATAATTTTCAAATCTGGATTTTGAATAGTTGAGTACAAGGTAATTTTTTATGATAAGAGACTCGGCTGTACTTCCATTGAAGAGGAAAAAGTCATTGATTAAAAATTGAATCGGATTTTTTTTTTTATTATTAATGTTTTAAAATGATTTTTGGGGGATTTGATACTACAAAAAAATACAAATCATAAGAAAATTTCTCAAGAACACCCATATTTTATACACCTATTTTATTCATTGTTTAATAGCTCTTCATATACAGTATAACAAACACTTAATTATAAATGAGCTTCAGGTTATACTATTACTGCATTGATTTTTACAAAATCTTTATCAGTTAAATAAAAGAAAATTTTTTATATTTCAATCAATTATTTCCAACTGAAATTAAAAGATAGCTAAGTGAAATTTAATAATAAACCTTTGTAATAGAAAAGGAAAAAACTGCTAGAAAAAATCAATTTTACTTTTATATGCAAAAAAATGATTTTTAGGCTAAAATATGTTTAAATTTAGCATTAACTCATTTTTTTTTTCACCTTATTATTGTAAAGATTACGTATAATTCCTATGTTAAATATTAGTATCATATGTATATCATCTAAATAGAAAGTATATCTCTTTATTTATCTATCATATGATATTTGGCTTAATATTTTTTAAGTTTAATTTAACAATTACAATAATATATTAAAAGCAAGAATTTTTTTTAATTTTTATCCTGATAGATTTACAAATATATATTATCTTATAAAATAAATATTATTATAAAACATATAATTTTAAAATTAAAATTCTAATTCTTTTTATCATATTTTTTTTTAAAATACTATTAAACAAAAGATAATAATTTAATATTAAATTTAAAATTTAATTCTGTATTTTTTTTTTCATAAAATTTGTTAGTATTATTTAGAGAAGTTAATAAGTTTATATATAATTTCAATAATATTTTATTAGCTTATTATCAGTATTATTACTAGATTATCTAGAGTTGTTAGATTAGATTAGATTAAAAACGCCTTTCTAAACTAATTTAAAAATTTTAAGTTTCGAAATATTTGAGATTAAATTATTTGTTTATAATAAATATTTTTACCTAAACTTTTAATAGGTTTTCCTAAACTTAATTAAGTTTAATTAAAATTTTAAATTTAAAAAAATCATTTTAAAGGTTTAAAAAGGCTTTTAAATTTTTAAGCAATATGTTGATATCATATTATATCAAAATTATTAGTTTATAAGAATTTGCAAAATGTTAATGTTATCAATTCTTTTAACATTTCAACATTTTCAATATTTTTATATTTCTTATATATTTATTTATTTAAATTATATTTTATATATATTAATTATTTTATTGTTATAAATTTTTATGTTAAAATAATATTACATATAGATTTTCTTATAATTGTATTTTTGTATAAATAAGATAAGTATAACTTATATAAAAAGATAACTCAAGTGTGAATTCAAAAACTTATGGTAAGAGTTTAAAAGTTTAAAATACAAGTGAAAAGATTCTAAATGAATAAAATTTATAATAAAGAAATTTTTCTTTTTAAACTATAAATTTTATTTTTCCTTTTGTGTATTTATATTTTTATTAATTGATCTATATTTGATTGATTGTGATAAAACTTATTTATAGTAATCTTTATTAAATATATGTATTACTTCCTGTTATTAAGTCACTATTATTTTAAGTTCAATAGTTAAGTTTAGGATTAACAACATTAAAATAGGTTTTAAACAATATCATTAGATTAAACTAAATTGAAAAGATCCAAATTTAATCACCTAATTTATTATTTAAATAAATTAATAAAATTTTATTTCACTTTTTATTTTTATAAATAAATAAGCATAAATCTTTATTATGTTAATTTTAATTATTTAATTATTAAAAATTTTTAAAGTATTAATATAAGAAAATGTCTAATTTTCTAAATTTTTATGTAGGCTAAAGATCTTTAATTTTATTATATATTATTATATAAATTTTATAAAATTTAATAATTTATAGTAGGATAATATATAATTATTAATTTTAATAATAATATTTTGCAATCTTTTGATAAATATTGAATTTATAAAAGTTAATGTTTAAAAATAAATGTTTTAATATATTTTGAAAAAGAATGATAAAAATGAATAAGTAACAGAATTAATTTTAATAAAATAATTTTAAAAACTTTGTTTCTTTCTGAAAATATTTATAAAAAGGTTTAAAGACAAAATAGAAATTAGTTATTATAAATTTTTAACAAATTGCAACAAATTTTTTGTTTAAAAGCTAATTAATTATAATTTTTATATATTAAAATAAAAAATAAAAATTTTTAAAACATCAAAAAATTTTCTCATTACAAAGTATAAGTAATAGATTTTTTATATATATTTTTTATTTACATATAAAATTATTCTATTTATTACTTTAAAATAAATATTTTTCTGCATTTTTAAATTGGATACTTCTGATTATATTGATTATATAACTGTAATTGATTGACTTTCAAATAAAAAAATTTGTTAAATTTTGTTGAAATTCACAAATTTTTATGTAGCCTAAATATCTTTAATTTTATTATATATTACTAAGTAAATTTTATAAAATCTGATAATTTATAATAAAATAATATATAAACCTCTTTATTTTCTTTATTTTCTTTATTATCATATTCATTTTCTTCTTAATTCAACTGTTCAGTCTTGTTATCAGTTTCATTTTATTATTATTTAATCAAATATTTACATTTAAATTATAAATTTTTTTTATTTGTTTCAGTTCAATAATTTTATAAGCTTGATTAATAATATTTTTTATTTGTATTATTGCTAATATTTTATTATACTAAAAAATATTAATAATTAGAATATATTTGTATTAATATAATAATCTAAAAAATTTGTAAATAAATTTTCAGTCAATTTTTTTTATTAGTATGAAAATGATTTATTGAAAATTATAACCTTTCTACTGATATAGTTTTTATACGTAATAAAATCTAATTTTTTATAATATTGTGAAACTCAATTTCATTATGTAAAAGAATTTGAAAAATGAATCATTAAATAAAAACTTTTTTGTTTAATAATCATCAAATTTTTATAAAATAATAGATAAAGTAGTACCTATCTAAATAATATAATATTATATTATATATTCACTCAAATCAAACCAATTAAGTCTTAGCAAATTTGTATTTAATTTATTAAATTAATATTTTAGATATAAAATCAAAATAATATTAATAGTGATTATTTCTATAATTTTCATTATTTTTAAAATATTTACAAAATTTAAATCTGAAATTCATATCTGAATATAATAATAATAATTGATAAAAATATCTAAAAAAATGAAATACTTTATAAAGTTATGCTTTATTATATTATAAATTATTCAAATAATCATAATATAACAAAAGTAAATATTTTATTGATATAATATTATATTAGAATATATTACTATTAATAGGATTACAAATTGAAAATGACAATTTTAATTCTTCTGATTAATGATTATAATTTTGTAAAAAACTTTCATTTTTATTTTGTAATTCATATTTAACAATTAAAAGTTTAAATATATTTTTAGTTAAAAATTTATTTAAATTTATAATAAATACAAATAATAATATATAATCATCTTAATAGCTCTTAAGAGACTACTAAAATAATAAAAGTCTATTCTAACAAGTATTATCTGATTCAATTATTAAATATCATAAAACTTTGACTCAAAAAATATTTAGCACAGAAATTTCAGGATATTCAATTTATAAGTGAATAAAGAAATTATCATCCACATGATTATGGCCGGCATTATGGCATTAACCAATTACATACAATGTGATAAAAAATTCTACTTAAAAAAATGATGATCACGTGGGTAAAAATGATATATAAAAAAAATAAATTTTTTTTTTGAATATAAAAAAAGATGATTAACTTGATTAGAAGACAGCAAATTCTTTCGCTTTATAAACAAATTTTGAAAGAATCATCAAAATTCTTTGATAATAATGCAAGGTAATAATATACCTTTATATATTGATAAAGATATGATTCAATAATGAATAAATATGATTTAATTTTGATATTTAAGAAATTTTCTTAAGGAAAGAGCAAGAATCAGATTTAAAGAATACAAGAAGGAAACGAATGAAAAAAGAATTACGAAGAAATGTGCTGAAGCGCGAAAGGTCAACTAATTTACGAATGTAATCAAGTGTTATTCAGGATCAATATATAATTTCTCTTGTTATTATTCATACGTTTTTAGGCATTGAATCAATTAAAAAGAGCTAATGTATTTGATGTCAAAGCTGTAATACGCGTACTTGAATTGACTTACGGAAGAAGTGGTCCAAAGAGGCATGAGTTGCTTAAGGTACATTTCTAAAAATGCTTAATATCTTCATCAAAATAGTTTGCAACCCATTAACTTATGGCGAATGATCAATTAGCCTTACATCGATTATCCTAGCCCACCTCCTCGGCCCTTTCTTCGTAAAGTTCCAAGAACTGCCCCACCACGCATTTCACCACCACTTCAATCATTATTATCATCACAGGATAAATCTCTTTATCCAATTTTACCCGAACCAAAACATAAACCACTACATCCGTGTCGAAAAGCGAATATCATGTGGTGGCATTACTCTAAAATTATGAAACAAGTGATGCCACCGGTTACTGAAGAAGAATTAGAAATATTAGAACAAAAAGCTGGAAAAGGCACGTTAACATCTGAAGGTTTAGCAAGGGTTGGAAGAAATTTTAAAGATAAGAGTAATACGAATAATAATGTGACGATTTTGAGACTTCCAAACATTCCTAATATGCCAAAAACACCGCGTGATCTTGTTAAAGAAGTACCATATCATACAGCGAGACCGCATAATCCAAGAAAAAGGTTTATAAGAAGGATTTATCAAAGGCTATTGACCCAAATACCCATCATGAAAGAAATTCCGAAATCATCTACTTCCCCACCCTCACCACCACCTTCATCTTCAGATTCTCTTCCTAAAACCAATGTTAAAGATAAAAAAGATATGAAGTCTTTTCTCAAAATTAAAAAATCTGATAAAAACGATCCAAAATCACATATTGAAGCCAACAAAGCTGACAAAAATAACATCAATCGTCCTATTAACCCACCTGATACAAGTAAAAATTTTGTCATCTCCAAGTCACCTTGGGCAGATGGACGTCCAATACCTTTAGTTAAAAAGATAGATTGGAAAGGATTAAACCTTGAAGAAGTGGAAAATCAGATCGGCGGTGGTGGAAAAAAAGGACGAAGCAAAAGGAAAAAGATCAAAGGAATAAATATTGAGATTATGTCGGAATAAAATGCATGCAGCAGATCACATGTCAAAATATTTTTATACGCAGATCATTAGTAAGTTCAAAAAAAAATGGTGCAGAGTTTAAACCTTACGGCTATTGTTAGCTCGATAAAAGTTTTTAGAAATGTACACTTGTGTATTCCCCATCTTATTGTTGATGGTAATAAATTATAACTATGAAGTTTATAAAAAATATTTTCGCGTTAAATAATTATTTTCAAATTAGATATTCGAAATATAAATTTCTATAAATTAAAAAGCATTGGTATCACTGCATTGGCATTTGATAAAGATAATACGCTTGCTTCTCCTTACTCCAATGAACTTTACCCACCTTTTAAGGTATTTTGTTTTTCAATCTAATCATTATTTTATTTAAAATAATTTTTTTTTAATTCGTTTAAATAAAGGATGCATGGAAAGAGGGTAAAGAAGTATTTGGAAATGAAAATATAGCTGTTGTATCAAATAGTGCAGGAACTGGTGATGATCCAGGATTTATTCAGGTGATCTCTTTTTGTTATTTCGTTATCTTTCTTTTCTTGTTAATAATTAATTTTTTAAAAATTATAAGGCTGAAGCAGTCGAAAAAAATTTAGGTAATTTATGAAGATTTATGAGCACATTGCTCTGAATTTATTAAATCTAATGATATTGTATCTTTATTTTATCAGGTGTTTATGTATTACGACACAAATTAAAGGTAAAAATCCATAAAATAACTTGCATTAAACATAGCTTACGATAGCTTTTCAATCCAATAGAAACCTTCTTGTGGACACGAACTGATTTCTCATTTTGCAGCGCATAATCCACATACAATAGCAGTTATAGGAGATCGCATGTTTACAGATGTACTGTTTGGGAATTTGAATGGGATGTTTACTATATTTACAAGAAATATCATTTCTGAACAACGGGATAATTTCATGGCCGCAATGGTATTTTTGTTTTTTATTTATTTTTTTTTTAAACAAAAGAATATCATATTTTAATAAATATCCATAATATCACAGGTACGTCGTGTTGAATATAGGATATTAGATTATTATGTTTCTAAAGGTATAAAACCTCCATTTCATCAATTTTTGAAGAAAGAGGATATCATATTTTTGAAAAAATGAACTACAAAATAGAATTAATAATTTATGTTTCGTGATACGATGTGCACTGCGGTTTTGCATTTCGCATAAATCACGTGATAATTCGTCATTTTATTGGCTAAAAAATTTTATATGCTCGTTACATATTAGCAAATTAAAAAACACTATTCAATATATTGGAATGAAAAAAAGAATCCTTCCAAATTTAGCAAAATAGCACCGGTTTATATATGGTTGCCAATATCAATTGTTGATATTATTCGTGATAAAAGAATTTTATACTCGGAATGGGGTAGCTTATGGGTATTAATGGTTAGTATGGTGTTGTGGTGCATTTTTTTAAAAAAGCAATTTCGCACTATTGTATTTTTATTATACAGTCGGACCTCGATATACGATATTCTATATACTGATATACTCTTATAATCTTGCGTTACTTTCATATAATCACGAGATTTTGAGTTAATTAACCAAGAATCTTGTGATCTTATATCAATGAATAAGGTTCGTGTATTATAAAAGGCAATTCATTAATAATTTTCATGTAATTATTGTTGCAATCAGTTCTTTGATGTTTATATTTATAAAATAATGTGTAATATAGCAGAAGGATTTTAATTATGTAATAATTATGCAAAAATTCTTTAATAAAAATTAATAAATTAAAAGGGAATATCGGGGAATTTCTATATTAATCCCGTCATTTTATACATGAATTTTGAAAGGACCAGAGGACAAGTTGACTAGACAATTTGTCCCGTGGTCAACTTGTCCAGTCGGAATTAATAACAAGACAACAAAAATAATTAATACATCGTATGCGTAATTTATTAACTAATCATTGTAACATTATATAGGTTCGTAGAATATAAAATCAATAAATATGATTGAACTGCTCATCAAGATGCTATTAATGTTGCATTTAAAGTATTTGATAATACTGAATTTCCTAATATATATGCACCTGCTCGAAATTTTTGAGTTGCAGAAACAACACTAAGATGTGTCAATTAACAATCATGGCGAACCCTCCAGTTCCTCTTCTAAGTCTGCTAACCAAAACAAACAAACTATTAAGAATAAAAAGATCAACTTTCCATACTTCGCTAGAACAAACTACAGAAAAATTAGCAAACAATATTTCAGTTTCAGAAATAAACATATACAATATCATCGAAAATATTATTCTTGGCACTGAAATTAACTCAACATCAACAATATTTACCTCTTCCATAAAAACAGAAACTAACTCACAAGGAAACAAGATCTTTAAGCAAAAAGGTATACCAACCTTCGACACTACTACTTAAGAAACAATTATCTTACCCAAACAAATAACCAACGAATCAATGCACGCCTCTAAATTGACTTAACAGTTTTTTATATAACATTCTATCATAATTGCTTCCTCCTCTAAAGGAAAAGGCAGACAAGTTTAGTTTGAAGAAATGGATGATGCTGAAGTACGTGACCAAGTGCATGAAGAAACCCCTTCAATAACATCACTGCTCTACATGTTTTTATGTGACAGATAATGCCTTAGATTAAAAGGAAAAACTATCACTAAAAAACACATGACTATTTACTCCTTATTTGTCCATTACAATAGCTATCAAGTATCGACTTACATTTTCAAATCAAGAAAGTTCCTTATCTACTTTAACTCCCTAGATAATCTAACACATGCTGTTATAAAAGTACAGAAAATACAACATAATCTGATCTTCCTTATTGTTAATCCTGTAATAAAGCAACAAAAAATTGGCATTGAAAAAAAAAGAACTAATATCTTCTTATTTGTTAAACCAGATATAGTATGAAATTTTATTGTCAAATATAGGATAATCTCACATTTCTCAATGATCATTCATGATCAGTGTTAGACATTTATCTAATTTGATATATAAACTTATATATATCTAATTTGACATCATATATGTCCAAATCCAACACTATTCTATGGCAAATCACCTTCATTGTCTTTGAAAATAGAGATATAATCAAACTCTTTTATAATAATATTTGGTTAGTTTCATTTCTTGAATTTTACTCTAAGAGTTAAATCTACTGATCTAGACCCATTACAAATCATACATAAACAGTAATTTAAACTCAAACTAACTGGATTACCATTTAATACAGATCAATATCAACTACAGTCCTTGGTGAAAAGAATAGCGATAGTAATACCATATTGATTTTAGATCATGACGTGTTCAGTTTTCTGATTTAGTCTATAGTTTATATGATCAAATTAACTCCAATTTAAAAGGGTAACACAAATTTGTTTTTATTTTTATTTTTATTTTAATTTCATCTTCATGACCATGCTAAGCCTCTTGAAATAAAACAAAACTCAGTGTTAACACTTTAGAACTAAAATATGTATAATGCAAAGGAAATTTCGCAACGATTTGCATTCTTTTACACACATGTGACTGATATATCAGTTTACTATATAAAACTGGCAATATAACTATAAATCATTCAATGTATTTCTTATTACAATCTAGCAGGAATGAGACAAGCTCGATGATAGTGTATTACTTAAATGTATGATAGCATGCTATACTAGATTAAAACATGTATTGATATAGAAGAAAGTCACACAAAATATTAATTAATTAATAAAAATTATTTTATTAGTATCGGCAATTAATTAAAAAAAAATTATATTTAAATAATAAAGATTTTATATACCGTTTAAATTTGTATCTGCTATTCTTTTCACTAGAAACTGTATTAAACTTTTTAGTATACATTAAAGTCATATTCTGTTTTATCTTATATGATAAAAACTATTATCTTTGCCTATATGCATTCATCAACTTTAATTCTCTAGATGATTTCATAATAGCAGAAACACAATAACAAAAATTTAAAGAAATCATTTTACATTAGATATCACTATTAAAGATGTCTTCTTAAACTATTTTTAAAAAATTTGAGTTTCAAGATATTTGAAATAAAACTATTTGTTTATAATAAATATTTTTACCTAAACTTCTAATAGGTTTTCCTAAACTCAATTAAGTTTTATCAAGTTTTAGATTTAAAAAAAAGTTATTTTAAAGATTTAGAAATAGTTTGTCAGTTTTTAAATTATACAGTCCCAGCCAAAAGTAATGGCAGTTATTATTTTTTACTTATCAAAATTTTTTTCTAATTAACCTCAAAAAAAGTTTTTTTTAAATAAAAACCAATAATT